ATACAAACCAATCACGATGAGGATACATTTAATTACAGTAATTTTAATTCTTAATTAAACATAAAAATACATTCACATTATTTCACTGTACATTCTGCTGCGGGTCAAATTAATTTATTTTTAAATATAAGAAAAGTATTAAGAAGATGAAGAGCAAATTAATTTATTTTTAAATATAAAAAAATATTAAGAGGATGAAGAGCTTTTCTACAATATTATTAAATATAGTCAAACAGATTAATCTTGAAACTTATCGACTTAACTCTTTATCTAACTTGAGTTTTCAATTGAATTACGAGGGAATTAGCTCGAATTAAATTGATTGATCTCGTGAATTTAAATACAATTTTAATGGTTGATAAAAACATGATTTAATTTAAAAAAATAAAAAGATTGTTCAGATAATTGATCGATCTCAGCCCCTCTTTAACCCGTGTCATGGATTTTATTGAGTTTAATAATTATTTTTATAAATTATTTTTTATTTAATTGTATGATAAAATAATATGATCGTAAAATTAAATATCAGTGTAAAAATAGACACTCATTTGAGATAATGATAATCTTATAAAAAAATAAAAATAAATCATATAGTTTATTTCCCAGTCATTTTAATATTGAAGGATATAATTAAGAAAAATTAAAAACAATTAAACGACCAGAAACTTAAAAAAAAATCCAGTTAATGGGTAAACTCGTTAAATCTATGAATTTGATAACTCGGGTTAGTACATCAAACCTATAAACCAAGTTATGAACTTCATTGAGATTGTAATTTATTTATTTTTGAAACTACTTTTTATTTAATTACATGATTAAAAAAATAAATAATTAGAAAATCAAACACCAACTCAATATCAAGATGTTGAAATGTTTTTTTAAAAAGGTTAAGGTTGCGAATCAGGTTAACTAGCCAAACCCTAAACATGTCCATGGATTTTATAAAAATTAATAATATGGTTTTTCTTTGAATCTACTACATGATAAAACATAAACAATGAAAAAAAAGTCAATTTAATTAAAAAACACTCACCAAATCTATAAATTAGAACATCCTGGGTTATCCTGGCAGACTTGCAAGCCATATTAACCCTGTAAAAAAATAAAAATAAAAATAAAATTAATTTCTCAATCATTTCAATATTAAAAAATAAAATTAATAAAAAAATAAATCCCATAACAAAAAAAAATAAAAGAGAAAAATAAGTAAATTAACATGGATTACCACGTTAAATTAAAAAAAAAAGATATCCTAAAGATATCTTATCAAACCTATAAACGATATTAATTATATAGAAAACCAAAATCGATTCAATCATCCCTTTAAAGACATATATTTGATGTCAATTTAGACTAAAAAGAGCTCAATTATACAAATAGTAAGTTTAAAGATTAAATTGGAAATGTTTTAAAAAATTATTATTCCAATTTACAATTATTTGTAAATGAATGAACAATAATTTTAGTTGCAGTGAAAACCCATATATTCTAGCTTTATACCTAATATTATCACATTTTACAGACACATAAGGTTAAGTTATCCAACTAATTAGACGACCCGTGATCGTCTGGAGGCTAGACATTTTTATTTTCTATATATATGTAGATTTTTTAATATATTTTTATAATTTAAAAAATTAAAGTTCAAATAAGAGAAAATTATGCATATATATATATATAATTAAATAAACCACCTATTATGTATATGAATAAATAAAAAACATTAACTATTCTTGATTAATTATTTTTAGAATATCTCTTATTCATGCTTCTTATTTTTTTTGCTGATTTCAATTTGTCGTAATTATCTCATGCTAGAATTTCTTGTGTATGTCATCGAAACTAGGAACTATTCTCGAAAGAAAATGAACGAAAAAGCAACAATATCTAAACTATCAGATAAGATTTAAACAATCTAGCGAACATTAGCATTGTTAGCAAGAATATATATATCAAGAGGCACTTTTGTTGCTAACCCAGAAAACAAAGACGCACACCTGTAGGCACATGAATCTTTCGAAATCAACAATGAAGATGATGGAGTAAAGCCCGTGAACTAGCGTTGATAAAGTCTATCAAGATCCATGAATAAGAGAACTCGAATTGAATATCTGAAGCTTCAAGATCAATTTCATTTTGTCTTGTTTGTTTGTTTGTTTTGGTGATTAAAATATATTAATGTTAAAATAAATTTTAAAAATATATTATTTTAATATATTCATAATAAAAAATACTTTTTAAAAAAATTATTACTATAATATCAAATAGTATCAAGATAACTAGATAAAAATCACTTCATTGCTATATCATTCCAGTTGTGTATGTTGTAGGGTGTTAATGTAAAAATATATTAAAATTAAAATTCATTTTATTTTTAATATCAAACACATTAAAGTTGTGAAAGAATACTTTAAAAAATATTAATATAATACAAAAATGAAAAACAATTTAAAACATATTTGGAAAAACACAGAAAGACCTGCCCTTCAATACTCTTAAATATACGGCTTAATTTGGCCACGTTTGAAACTGTCCAAACAAGACCCCACTGCAATAAAATTAACTCTTAATAAAATTTGTCTAAGAAACTTACTAAAATAAATGTTATAATATATAACGACTCTTACATTAAGTGTCATTGTTACATATCTTATGAGATATTTGTCTTGATTTTGGCAACAATCATAGTATAATTTTACCAACACACTTGACATTAAATAAAGGGCACATGGAATGAATGGCTTTGAATTCAACACAGGCAAAGCTCTGTCATAATTACTAGTTTAATTGGCATGGTAAATAACTGTGGTTGAGTATGCACGCATGCATGCATGTATGTATGATAAAAGTAATTGTTTAAAAATTGTAGCCAGCTGTAATTAATGACAATATTTTACTTAAAATGCTGGTATACTTCGTGAACAATTACCATTAAAATTTGATTCTGTAGGGGCACCTATCATGAACATGCATGCATGTGATCTTAATTAGCAAATTCCAGGCTCATTCAAAAATCCGATCCATAATTTCATTCTGCAGGCTCAAGCACACCTCCACTGTTATAATAGTTTGAATATTAGATAAATAAAAAGAATTCTGTCCTACACCAGGAAGGAAAGAAATTCCAAATCTCTATATATATAATAGTACTTTGTTATTACGTAAAATAAACAGTTTTTATTTTTAAAATTAATTAATTAATCGTCAAGTTATTTTTTTAATTTAATTCAAAAATTGCATCTTCAATTTTATATATATATATATATTGGTCTAAGTGTCCCATTTAAATTAAATTCTATAGACACTATGCATGCCTGTGAATTTCTACAAATAAATTAGTTTGAAAATATTTTTTTATATAAATATCAGTTTTATGTTAACATAAATCAATTAAAAAACAATATTCTTCTCTTTTTATCTTTCTTTAAATTTTTTTTGTTTATATTCATCAGAAACAAAATAATTTTTTTAAGAAATTTATAAAAATTGTTATCTACAAGTTTCAAGACTTAACTATAAAGTGTATATATTACTTTAACTCTACATCAAATCAAATATAATAAAGGAAATTAATATCTTAAAAACAATGATCTTCTCGCTACAAAACCTTATTGCTACACTTACTTCCCTAACATCCACTGCCACAAATCTCATTGTTTTTATTTTTTTTCCAATCGAGATTGTCTGAATTTGTTGCCTGATATGCACAATTAAAGGATGCTGGCTGCGTAAACTGAAGACGCCTCTCGAAACTTTCAACTGGTTAAATTCTTCAAGGAGGTCGTCAAGCTTAATCTTTCACTTTACCTGGCTTAATTTAGACCAGGTTCGTCTTACTTCAAGAAAAGATGACAAAGATAGAGAAACAATTCAGGGTTCAAATCTGCGTTAAAACTCCCCGGCGTTAGTTCTTGTACATGCATGCATGCGTGATTGTTTTTTCTTGACATGATAATTGGATATTTAACTTCTAAGCTCAAGACAAGCATTCCATATCTTCAGTTCTGCCCTTCTGGGAATGATAGAACTTCATCAGAATGCCCGGAAGCAGCCACTCGGAATATATTTACAAGCATTCTCATGTTCAGATTCATGCCTCTTGTTAACAAAATCTTATAAACTATACATCTCTAGCTTGCTGCTGTTTTAGTTGACGGCAATACCGTAATATTGGTCTTTACAATGAAATCAAAGGACGGCCGAGTCCGGACATGAATCCAGCTGAATATTAGTAATTGTTAAGTTAATTTACGATAAATTAATTAAGATATATGCTCAGTGTTCGACTTTGACAGTGACAAAAAGATCACACATGTGACTGTCCAATTTCAACATTCACGGCTCATGATAGCTTTACTTGTTTATTTTTGTCTTTTAAGATTATTTTTTAAAAACAAATTGAATTTTTTAATTTAAAATTAATTTTTATTATTTTAATATAATGGTATCCAAAATAATTTAAAAAAAATATTATTTCAATATATTTTTAAATAAAATATTTTAAAAAATAATAAATACGCAGAATCAAAGTAGTACAAAGCCACAATTCAAGTAAAAAGTTTTAATTGACTTCTTACTTACTATTATACTTTAATAATTTGATTTCATCAATCTGGAAACATTTACATTAATTCCTCGTATATATTACGTATTACTTTCTTTTTTCTTAAAAAAAATCATGATGTTTGCAGCAATTATCTTGAAGTTGATGTATAACAAAGACAAATGAACACAGCAGCATTTCCTATCCTTGTTGATAAGATGTGGTTTGGTGGCTCCGAAAATCCACTATGATAGATTTAGATTTTCTAGATAAAAAGGGCTGAAAATCATTTCTTATCCCTTCACTTTTCATATTCCTATAATCGTACATCCAAGACAAGTTAGTAGTATATCCGCTTGAAAAATGTAAAAATACTCGACATATCGAAAACTTCATCCCATATAGAATCATAATCGTTTTGGACTTAGAGTATATGGAATGGTGATCTGAACAATTATGGTTGCAAATCACTCATGAAGTTAGCCAACTTATTTATAACTTGATCTTGTTTCCTTGGAGATATACTAACATGTATTGTATGGTCCGATTTGTTTTTCGTGTATATCAAAACCAGAGTGCATAGGGACATGGTATTCGTACAATGGTTTTGTACTTTGGTTTACTTTTCTTTTAAACACACTTTCGGATGCTATATTTAGAAACACACACGCTCTCTCTCTCCAACCGGCCGTATTTTTGCCAACCTCGGCGCTTCCCACGCTTTCTCTCCACTCTATTTGGTTAATAACAGTCGCTTTATCTTTTGTTCGATTATTCTAAGTTAATATTTTTCTTTGAAATCCCATCCACAAAAAAGCCCTCTTCTCTTCTTCCATTTATATTGTGTGGAAGAAAACTAAGGGAATGTTGATGATGGTGGTGAATATGACATTATTGAGCCTTCACCGACTCTATCCTTGCTCTTCGTATCCGTTTTTAGAGATTTCAAAGTCAACTTTATTGCCTTTTCTTTGACTTTTTTTGGTTTATAGGTTTTGCTTGCTTGCATGCGTGCTGTTTTTTTTTTTTTTTTGTACATAAAGGTTTGTTTTTTCGAAATTTTGCTAGTTTTTGAATTCTGGGTCATTCTTATTTTATTGGGCTTTGTTTAGATAATGGTGGGAATTGTGTTGTTTTCTTAGGGTTTACCTTTTGTTTTTGTTCGCAGTTTTGTTTCGTTCGGATACGGGAAATAAACATATATACAGTCGATGATGGGAAATTTAGTTTTTGAACCAATGTAAGGGTCAATTCGTAGACCATAAGAACAAAGAATTTTTATTCTCAATTCTGATTGGTAGGCAATCTATTTACAAATAGTGAATTTTTTTGGTTATAAGGTCAATATTGGAGGGAACTTGAATAGGATTTTGGGTTGGTGAAACTGGGTTTCTACTTGATCAAAGCTTTTCGTTGCTATCTTTGATCAGTAATTTGATCTTAGGAGGGGTTTGTTATGCACATTTAATTTGTAATTGCATAAGAATTTTGAAACTTTTCCCTTTTTGATCTTCAAATCGTGATCAGTTCATGCGAATTCGAAGGCAATGAGTGTGATGATGAAAAATTGAAGGTTTTTTGTTTTACTTTTCTAGGATTGTCGTCTAGAATTTAAGGTTGTCTCTGGGATTCACGACTTGTCTTGTATTTGGTTCTTTATAATGGATTCAAAAACAAGCGGTGAGGCTGGTGATGTCATGCCAGAGAAGAAACCGGATAGCCAGGAAGGTGGTGCCAATTCAAAGGTGAAAGGTATAGGAGGTGTGAGTAGCAAAGATATGTATTTTCGAGCTGATAAAATCGATCTTAAAAGCTTGGATGCACAGCTTGAGAAGCACCTGAGCAGGGTTTGGTCAAGGAACACCGAAATCCAAAGGCCTAAAGAAGAGTGGGAAATTGATTCGTCTAAATTAGAAATAAGGCACGAGGTAGCCCGTGGTACTTTTGGGACCGTGTATCGTGGCACTTATGATAATCAAGATGTTGCAGGTCATTGATCTCTGTTTCCCAGCGCTCATTTTGTATTTCCATGTCTTTTCATGCTTACGTGATGGTTCTTAGTGTTTTGGTAGTCAGAGCTCTTAATTTTGTTTGGTTTCTGTTTCTGTAAAGGTCATGCTAGGGAGTAAGGATATTGTGTTTCGCCTGTCCTCCAAATCTTTGTTACGAGTTGCCTTCACACTGCTGCTTATTAACATGATCTAAAATCTGTTGCATATATGTGGAAATGAATATAAAGTTTTGTCCGGCATTGCATTCGCAACGGCATATTAAAATGGATTTCATTTGTTGCCATATCATTACATCGCTAATCCTAGGAAACAATTTTCCCTATCCCTTGCGTTTTCTTTTGTATGCTATTTTTGAATGTGTCCCTTTTATGCTGCCTGCCTGGATTGGGGGTAACAGAAAAAAGTAACAAGGCAAACCATTCATCTTCATTAGTATTTCGGGCGTGGGAGCATCTCTTCTTTTAGTTGGGG